GAACCAGAGTCTCTGAAGGAACCAGAGTCTCTGAAGGAACCAGAGTCTCTGAAGGAACCAGAGTCTCTGAAGGAACCAGAGTCTGCGAAGGAGCCAAGGCGTCTGAAGGAATCAGAGTCTCTGAAGGAACCAGAGTCTCTGAAGGAATCAGAGTCTGCGAAGGAACCAGAGCCTCGAGAGGAAGCTGGGTCTGTGAAGGAAGCTGGGTCTGTGAAGGAAGCTGGGTCCCCGGAGAGGGTGGAGTCTCTGGAGAAGGTGGTGTCTCCGGAGAAGGTGGAGTCTCCGGAGAAGGTGGAATCTCCGGAGGAAGCGGAGTCTGAAGTAGGTGGTAAATCTCCGACCTGTGGGAAAGTGGAACCTCGAAGCGACGAGAGGCACCGGTGTCAAGACGACGACGACGGTGGCAAGACGGCGGAGCAGGAAGCTGGAGAGTTCGATTGCCCGTCCACTGGTGAGTTTCGCCATGAGATAACGATAGAAGAGGGCGACGCCACCCGGGCTCCCCTAATACCGAATCTTCCAAAGGTTAATATTCCCGAAGGTGAAGCAGGTTGCGATGAAGAGGCAGATGAGGACCACCCAGGGGGAGATCACGATCAAGAGGCAGATCACGATCAAGAGGCAGATCACGATCAAGAGGCAGATCACGATCAAGAGGCAGATCACGATCAAGAGGCAGATCACGATCAGAAGGCAGATGAGATGGTTCCTGCATCGAGAGATAAGGATGACCGTGCGATACCAGCCGAATCCGCTGAGGAGATTGGCGACCAGGCTATCGGGGAGATGCCTGCAGGATTGGCGATGACAGGTAAGGAAGGTGAGTCGGCGGGCGATTACTTTAATGGAATAGTGAACGACCTAGATTCTCGGTCGCAGGAAGTACTCAGTTCGGGTGCTGAACTGGCGACAGGTGCTGGTGGCCCAGTCATAGTGCCTCCCTTACCAGCAAGAGTTAAAAACATCCGTGCTAGTGGTCGTCAGACGACAGGGGATCCAACGAGCGGCGATCAGACTAACCGGCAGACACGGCGTTCCGTGTACTCGGTGCCTGGCAGGATTTCTGACTCGGAGGAGGCCTCACTATCTGTTGGGGACATAATCTTCGATGAACCGGAGGCTGCTGAGTTACAGGCAGAACACACAACTTCGGCTTCGTCTACAGTCAGTGACGGCCCCCCGGCGGTTTTTTTCGCGGCGGGGGCGGAGCCGCCGACGCCGGTGATGAGTCACACGATCCATAGCACGTGGGACACACAGAGTGTGTTTGAGGCACGCAAGAACTTCGGGCCGTTCGTGGGCTCGGAGGACGACGGCTCCGACCTCCGCGGAGGCTCCGACCTCAGCGGCGCGAGGCCTGTGCGCTCCTCCGAGGAGGGCGAACGCGAACGAACACGCGTGTGCGAACGCGATTGTGAAGAGACG